TATTATCTTGAAAGGATATTAATTATACATATATATGTTATGCGAGCTTTGCACAAAGTAAGTTTAAAACACTATTTATTTTATTTTATTTTATTTTATTTTATTTTATTTTACTTCATTTTGTTTGTTTGTTGAGAGCTTTCTCCAATATATATTTAACATGTCTTTCTAACGATTACGTATGTATGTGAGCATAATGAAAGTATGTTGTTGTATAGTATGATCATGCCGCTTTGTTATTGTAAATTGTTGTTTGTAAAGTGGGCAAAACAGTCAACAATACAGTCAGTCAGAGAGTCAATGAATCAGACAAGACAAGCGAAAAACGCCGACACATGCGAGCGCCTAATAAAAGGAAATACTCAATGATAAGCACACATGTAAAGGTCAATCATACGCCGTGGTGCACATACAACTAAACAAATCGAGACGTCAACAACGACGTCAATGTGTACCAGTGGAACAATGCAGCAACAGCAAGAGCAGCGGCAAACGAAATGCAACGCAATATAAAGCAAACAAAACGGAAAAGTATGCTCTCGACATAACAAATAACTGAACGGTGCAGGTGGAGAGGGGGGTACCGAGATATGTATGTATGTATTTATGTAGAAATGTATGTTTGCATGTTGGTAGATAGACAGCCTAACAGACATGAAGTGGAGAGATATAGATAGAGTCGATCAGTGGCAATAGATACAGGTATACACATAAATATGTATGTGGTACATGAATATGTGTGTGAATATATACAGTAGTACGTATGTCGGTATCTACCTCAATGTCTATTACTCGGCTTATGTGCTCAAGCAAGCATGCAATAATCATGTGTGCGTTTAAATACCACTCACTTACTATGCAATAAGCAACATTCAAAAACAAGGCAAGTAAGTAAGGAAGATTAATGCGGGCTCGAAGTCGCCTATGAGAGAGTAGATATATGAATGGTTAAACAACTTCGCTGATATAAAAACAAAATTAGTATATACTCAGTTTGTATATTCGCCGGGGGCAAATTTTTAAGTTAAAATCTAAAAATATACAAAAAGGAAGGCAAACTGCGCATATGAATGTAGAGAATACGTGCTTGTCGCCATTGAGTTCCTACTGCCATGTAATCGGGACTTACCGAGTATATCACCGTATATACGAATATCTTAAAATACTATATACATATGAAAATACATACACACATGTGTATATGACACGCCGAAGTAGGCCTATTATTTATGTGTATATTAATTTCCACAATAATGTACACATGATATCTTTAATATATAAAAATTTAATGTACAATATGCATACATACTACATATGTTTATACATACATGCCCATCACTATCAATCACCCAGTGACGCGTACTTGGTGCACTTGAGGTCAGAGATAAGAATCTCTAAACTTATTGACGCTTATCAAATCGAGCTACAACTACATTTTTATACACATGTATATTACACATACATATTTGATGCCAATACATGGCCGAGCGACACAAGAAACGCTTATCAGTGAGGAATAGTTTTGCCTTTCTTTTGCTCCTTGCTATTTTTGTCGCATTTCACCTCAATTCCATTATTTTGCCCGCAGAGAATTTTATTAGTTTTTACTTAGCACCTATCCTTCACTGGTGCACCGTTGAAAGTCATACTATAAGTAAAGATTTTATTCATATATCGTTTACTCTATATTCCTAGTTTTTTCTATACACCCTTAATACTTTATTTTATTTTAATTAGATTTTTTTTTATTATGGTAATATTTTCATTTTAGCTAATTATATCTCACTTTTTTATTTTATTTTATTTTGCTCTATTATTTTTATTTTAATTTGTTTAATTAAACTTATTTTATATTATTTTATAATTTTATATTAATATATTTCATTCATATTACTTTATTTTTATTTTATTGATTTTATTTTAATTTATTTTATTAATTTTGAATCAATTTAATAAACTTTAATGAACTTAATTTAATTTTATTTATTTTCATCTTTTCATTTATTATTATTTTTCATTTTTTTATTTGTGTTAATTTTTTCATAATTTTTATTTTTCATTTTGCTTTTCTTCATTTACTTTTACATTTTATTTTTTTTTTCGTTTCTATTTTTCAACTGAATTTTTTTTTTTTGGTTTTATTTGCTTATCATTTATTTCTTCATTAATTTTTTATTTTTTTTTCATATTTTTTTATTTTTTCATTAATTTTTTTCTATTCTTTAATTTATTTTTCATTAATTTTTTTATATTCTTTAATTTATTTTTTCATTTATTTTTTCATTTCCTTTTTTATTTATTCTTTATAGGTTTTCATTATTTTTTTATTTTTTATAATTTAGTTTTTTATAAATTTTATTTTATTTTACTTTTTTCCTTTTTTAATTTTTTTATTTTTTTAATTTTTTTCTTTTTTTAATCTTTTCCTATTTTTAATGTTTTTCTTTTTCTTTAATTTTTTACTCTTTTTTAATTTTTTTTTATATTTTATTTTTTTTTATATTTTAATTTTTTTTATATTTTAATTTATTTATTAAATTTTTTTTTTGATATTTTTTTATAATTTGCTATCAGTGTTTTAATATACTTTCATCTTTTTTAAATTTGTTTTCATTTCTTTCTTAGTATTTTTCAATTAATTTCTTATTTTTTTCTCAATTTAATATAATTATTTATTTAATTTCATATAATTTTCCATTAATTTTCACATAATTTTTTCATTTTATTATTTTTCGTATAATTTTTAAATTTTGTTATTTTTCACGAATTTTTACCTTTTATGATTTTTTCCTCGTTATTATATTATATTTAATATTTTTCATTTAATTTTATATTTTTATTTTTCATTTAATTTTATATTTATTATTTTTCACTACTTTTTATTTCTTTTTACTTTTTTAAAAGTTATTTCTTATTACTCTTTTTAATTCTTTTTATTTTTTTTAGGTTTTTTCTCATTTTTCTTATTTTTTAATTTTTTTATTGTTTTTAAAATTTATTATTGTTTTCTATATTTTTGTTTTGCTATATTTTACAAATTTTTGTTTTTATTATATTGGGTTGCCCAAAAAGTAATTGCGGATTTTTAAAAAAAAAAGTAAATGCATTTTTAATAAAACTAAGAATGAACTTTAATCAAATATATAATTGCCATTTTGTTCGATAACCTTTTGCCATCTTCCTGACAAATTTAGTATTCCACGCTCATAGAACTTCTGGCCTTTATCTGCAAAAACTGAACCAAGTGCGATTTTATAGCCTCATCGTTGCTGAAAGTTTTACCATTTATGGAGTTCTGAAAAGATCGAAATAAATGGTAGTCTGATGGTGCAAGGTCAGGGCTATATGGTGGATGCATCAAAAGTTCCCAGCCAAGCTCACTCAGTTTTTGGCAAGTGACCAAAGATGTGTGCGGTCGAGCGTTGTCCTGGTGGAATATGACACCTTTACGATTGACCAATTCTGGTCGCTTCTCCTTGATGGCTGTATTCAATTTGTCCAATTGTTGACAGTAAACATCCGAATTAATCGTTTGGTTCCTTGGAAGCACCTCAAAATATACGACACCCTTCCAATCCCACCAAACAGACAGCATCACCTTCTTTTGGTGGATATCAGCCTTTGAAGTGGTTTGAGCTGGTTCACCATGCTTGGACCATGATCGTTTTCGACTAACGTTGTTGTAAACAATCCATTTTTCATCTCCAGTTAGATTCGTTTTAAAAACGGATCCAATTCATTGCGTTTAAGGTGCATATCACAAGCGTTGATTCGGTGTACTAAATGAATTTCTTTCAATACATGTCTCTCCTATCCCACGCTCAGTTACATGACGATCCAATTCGATTAATGCTTTGATTTGGTCATCATCAACTTCATTTGGCCAATTACAGAGTCACAAGCCGTTGAAAAAATTTGTCAACGCCGACTATATGAAAAATCCGCAATTACTTTTTGGACAACCCAATATTTCATTAATTTTTTTTATATTTTTATTTAAATATAATTTTATTAATTTTCATTAATATCTGACTGATAACCTACTTACTATTTTACCCTTTTATTCATTATTTTTGTTATCATGTACATTCCACAGCCACAAGGCGCTTGGTAGGAACGTGAATGGACCCCAAGAACAATTTGAAGAGGAGGGTACGCTTGGAGAGATTAAATTGTAATAATTGGAAACGTGTAGCGGAAGATAAATGTGTGTGCCCCTGCTTTTGCGGCGAGTTTTATGTAATTATTAGTGTAAATGAAAACTATAATGACTTTATAATTTAATTGAGGTTAAATGATTTATAAGTGATAACACTTGGGAGAAGTGCAAAATTGAACTGGAAAGAAATCGTTTAAAATAATATATCTACATTGAATTTTACGTATGTAGGCATGTGTACAACAGCGATGTATGTATGTACAAAGAAAAGTATCAATCAAACACTTAACTTATATTTCTGCGTAAACACTTCAAGGGAAAGAAAATATCAGCGAAAAAAATGTGATAAGCAATCAGGAACACTGTATATAATATAATATATTTGTATGTAACATACATACATATATCGCTTTGTGTATTTCTTTTTTTACCTTTTTTGTGTAGAAATAGCGACTTGCAGAAGAATAAAATTCACTAGACATTCAATATTGAAGAAAATTGCAGTATTCAGATAGACTAGATTGGCACTTGATTTATTAAATAATGTAATTTGATGAAGTTTGAGCTACTTACTGCTTAAATTATTAATATATATGTTTCTTAGTAACTGTAATAAGTACATGCTCTTAGCAATAGACAAAAGTCAGCAGTATAGAGGGAAAATGAAATTAAAAATAAATGAAATAATTTCACAGATTTAATGAATAAAACAATCGGCGTGTAATGAAAATTTACAAAAAACATTACATAAAAATTAAATTGATTTAAAAAATGAAGAAAAGTAGCTTGAAGTCTACTAAAGTAAAATAGTTCAAAATTAAATATGAATATTTATACGTACTCAACTGAATCACGCGCTTTTCCAACAAAATTCGTGTCCTTTAATACTCAATCCTGCAATTGTATAACGGGAGTAGATGGATAAAAAGTGTTGATTTTAGAAAACACATTAAACACATCGCAAATTTTGTTTCACTAAATTACGGAAACGCACAAATTATACATTTATATTGTGCATACGTGTACATACATATGTATGTAAATGGCATGCAAAAAACATGAATACACTTAGGCCACACGAAAAATTGTTGATTTTCTATTTTTTTTTTAAACTTTGTTGTAAATTTCTTATTAACATGCACACACACACATATATATATATATATATATGTATATGCACGCCCAAGTATGAATATGTTTCACAGTAAATTTTGTAATCACTGGTAATTACAACACATTTTATTTAGCATATAATTTTATTCCACATTTTTGGTTTACTAGTTTATTGCTTTATGTTGCGGTACTTTAATATGCAAGTTATTAATAATTAATTGTTTTTTTTTGTTTTTTTTTTTGTTGATTTACTAAGGGAAAACTGAATTTGGTCTAAACTTAATTATTAAATTATTTTTTATTTTATTTTTATATTTATTATATTATTATTTTTGTTATTGTTTATGTTATTATTTTTTTATTGTTTATATTATTATTTTTTTTTATTGTTTATATTATTATTTTTTTTTCTTGTTTATATTATTATTTTTATTATTTTTTCTTATTTTTATTTACTTTATTATTATTCCCGGTTCCTTAGGGGAGAGTTTTTTAGTGATCTGCAAGTGGCATATACCATTGATGTGACAACTCAATGATGATGGGGAAGGCATTTTTTTTTCCTCACCCGCAAAAAAAAATTTATTTTTTATTATTATTTTATTTCAATTGGACATGTTTTTATTATTTATTTATTTTTTACTATTACTTTTGTTTTATTACTATTTTTATTATTTTATTATTATTTTATTATTATTTTATTTTTATTATTATTTTATTTTTATTATTATTTTATTTTTATTATTATTTTATTATTATTTTATTTTTATTATTATTTTATTATTACTTTTTTTTATATTATTTTATTATTATTTTTTTATTTTATTATTATTTTTTTATTTTATTATTATTTTTTAGTGTAATTTTTATTATTTTTTTGCCGTTATTTCTAATTTTTTATTATTATTTCTATTATTATTTTTATTATTATTTTTATTATTATTTATATTATTTTTTTTATTATAGTTTTTATTATTATTTTCATTATTATTTTTATTATTAATTTTATTTTTGTATTTATAAATGTTTTTATTATTTTATTATTATTTTTTTAATATTTTACTATTATCTTTATTAGTTTTATTATTTTATTCTTAGTTTTAATAAATATTATTTTATTCATAGTTTTATTAAATATTATTTTTATTATTTCATTATTTTATTATTTTTTTCACTAGTTTATGATTATTTTTAATGTTTTTATTATTTATTATTTTATTTAATTATTATTATTATTATTTTATTACTATTATTATTTTTATTATTTTACACTTTTTCCATTATTTTTTTAATTGTTTATTAAATTATTTTTCAATTTATCAGTACACTATAGTCAGGTGATATATGTGCGATTTTATTTCCATAGTTGTATAGTACATATTTAAATTGTTCATTTAACCAAAAAAAAATGGGGCGCTAGCCCAAGAAACATAAACTTTTTACGTACATGTGTATATATTTAATTATTTACAAAAATGCATTAAAAAGGAATTATTTCACTTGCATTGCATTTTGTCTGCGGATTCCGAATTTTAATTGACTTTCTTTTTGTAAAAACATCAACCTTTTGACTTAGTCATTGTTATAAAATTTATACTGAATATATTTACATATGTATGTATGTGTAAATTAACACTTAAATAAGTCGTGTTGATTTGCATATAATTAGAAAAACACAAAAAAAAACTTGGGCTCATATTCTTTCTTTTGCACACCCGCCTATTCGTTAATTATTATTTTCCGGTGCATCAGCACAAAGAAAAACAGATGAAAATAGACACATTTGAGTTGGAAAAATAACGGCACACAAAGTTTTAATATTTCTTTTGGCTAATACGCAACCCTTTCACATTAAAATAAAATAAAATATTTAATGAAAACGGCGCGCAGCGAGAGAAAGCTAAAAATTGCCCCGCAGGAACGAACATTTTCAACTATTAATTTTGTTTGCCTATACATACATACATAAAATTTATGAATGTTTTGTTACTAAAAGAAAAGCAAAGAAAATTAAGACACTACAACCTGGCGTCTTTTTTTCATTTACATTTGCTTACACAAAATGTTTAATTATGCAAAAAAATAAACTTTTTTTTATTTATTTAACAATTATTATGGCAAATTAACACGGTGACCCCAAGGAAATGGCACACAATTTACACATTCACATAATCACTTTTTACATTTCACATAAATATTTAGTTGCTGCTCTTCATTTTTTCCTCAATTAATTAATGCGTGCACATTTTAATTGTTGTTGCCGTTTAAAGAAAGAAATAAAAACAGTTGTTGTCGCTCGCTTGAAGTTGCCCAAGTAAGGGGAAAATGCTCATTGCGAGTTTTTACTGCCTTTTATGAGTATATACTTATATGTATATTATATAAATAAGTATGTAAAACGAAGGCAATTTTATGTTTACCCACAAATATGGACATAAAAATGTGTAAAACTTTCGGAAGACAAGTCTGTGTTATCGAGCTAAAATTAAAACAAGGAACTATATTTAAACGCCAACAGCAAAAAAAAAGCAAAAAAAAAACAACAAGCCAAAAATCAAGCGAGTAGCAAACTCGCCACTGCCTACCGATTAATTATTTACCTAGAATTCGTAGGCAAAATTTTTAATTTAATTTTAAAAGTTCAAGTTTTACTAAATAAGCCTTTCAACGAAAGTTACGACATGCTTACATACACAAATATGTATGCATATTTATAAAGTTTAAGCGGAAGCTTCAAAATGACAAAATGGCAGCATAAGAAAATATATTAATGGAAAAAAGTTTCCTATATAAAGGTACATTTAGTAAAAAAAAAGTGTTAAATACATATGTACATATGTATATATGCATATGTATGCACATAAGTTATACACAAATAAAAGTAAATGTTTCAATTTTCTTTTATTTGGAAAAAAAATAACACACTGTGGCAGAGCATGTGAATAAGCAGCAAAGCGAGTAATCGCACAAAATGCACAAGTGAGAAGAAAGCTACAACAAACTGGTTTTATTACCCGCAAGCAAATGAATAGATGTAATGAGAATAAAAAAAACAGCAAGCAAAAAATGTAACTTCAAATTTGAGCACTAAAAAATAATACAAAGTCAGCTGTTGAAAGAAAACTACAACTGAGCGCAAAAAACCAAAAAATAAACAATAAAGTATAAAAGAAAAACAGCAACAACTAAATGGACTGTCAAAATGGCAAATGGCAAATCGCAACAATGAGCGAGTGAGTAGTAGTTGGCAACGAGTTAGTCAGCATAAAACCGGCAAAATACAATTTGCAAAAATTTATATATTCATATACATACATATAATATATGTATATATATATGTGTGTGTATGTGCTCGTATATGTAAAATTTAAAGTGAGTTCTTTGTAATAATTGAGAAAGATACACAAAGCAAATGTAGTTAAAGATTGTTGGTTAGTGTTGAAGAAACACCGAAGCCAAAATACTCATAAAAAAAGAAACAAAACAATAAAAAAAAATAAAAAAAGCATAAGAGAGCAAGCAACAAAAGAGAGCCAGTGGCATAATAGAGCTCAGCAGAAAAGTTGACTATCACGAAAATATGTACTTTTTTAGTAAAGCGACAGCTGATGTGAATTTATATACATACATACATACATTCAATATAAACTGAATTTGAAAGAAATGAATATTTCAATTACAAAAAAAAAAAAGAAATACTAAAAAATTAAAAATAAAGTGTGATGAAAAAAGTTTAGAAAAAAAATCTGAATGTAAGGTCGATACACACAAATGTATAAACACATACTAAACTCATATATGCATGTAGATACTAACTACCACTGTGTGTGTGTGTGTTATTTTCGAGTTGCAGCGCGCTGCTACCCATGAATTATTTTCCAGGTGAAAGACTTTGAGAGGAAGTATATACATTGTTCGTACGTACATACATACATACATACATATGCATACTTGTATAGAAAATTTCATTTCATTATGGCCAAACGACGGTAACACAACGTGTACACGAATTTAAGTGGATTATAAATAACTAAAATATTTCTATGAATACATAGCTGTTGTATGTCTAAGCAGTTAGCAAAGTTCAAAAATATTTAATAGAAAATTATCGGAAACTTTTAAATGATGGCATGCACACATGTGGAGAATTTAATTAATTTTTAACAACAAATTGAAATATGTGTTTACAGTTTGTGAAACAAAAGGTATTTTGTAAACAAAAATTGGCTAATATATGCATACTAAGATTTAAATATATACGAGTCTATGGATAAATGCTAGTAGTGAGAAAAATTAAATGCAATTAAATGCAGTTTATGTACATTAGCACAGGTAAACGCATTTGTATGCCAGTCTCACATACGTATGTATTTATGTATAATGCATATTTGTGGCAAGCTTTTTTATTAAGCAAAAAACGGGTTGTTTGTTTGTTTATATTATTTCCACTTAAGTGATCGAGTTTAGTGTTGCAAAACTAGTTAGCTGCAAGAAACTTGTTTGGGAGGAAATGATTTTTAAAAGTAGAGTTTTTCACAGTGGAAAGCCACAAACACCACGTATCCAGACGACATTTTATGACGATTTACTATGTATATATTTGCTACACGATTGTTTAAGAAAATACATACACATACAAATATATATATGTATATATCTATATGGTCCAAAAACATTTATTTTTTTATTAAAATCACGTGAAGTGTTTACTCTTTCCAGTGTAACAAATGAAATCTCGAACATCCACAAATAAAAAGAACTCTAAACATATATACATATATACATATGTATAGTATAAGTAGTATAATATTTTAATGTATATTTTTCTTATTTTGCTTCGTTGAACATAAAGTAATAATATTTTTTCAAACAAACAAAACGCTGCGTTTTAAATTATATGTTTCACTTTTTTTTTAGTTTTTGTCGTTCTAACACTCCTTAAATTTCTTTTTTTTTATTTATTTCAAATAATCTATCTTTTATTTCCTTTTCAGTTAAATACGGTAATAATTACTTCCATATTAGTTTTATTTTATCTGCAGTTCGTATTTTTTTATTAAATTATTGATATTTATTTTAATACTTTTTTATTATAGTAATATTATTTGTTATTATATTATTTATTATTATATTATTTATTAATATATTATTTATTATTATACTATTTATTATTTTTATTATATTATTATTTTTACTATTTATTTATTACTTATTATTGTATTACTATTGTTAGTTATATTAATATTGATTATTACTATTTATTATTTTTTTATTATCATTAATTATTATTTATTAGTTTTTATTATTATCAGTTATTTTTTATTATTAATTATATTTTATTATTATTTATTGTTATTTATTATTATTTTTTTATTTTTTTTTATTACTATTTATTATTATTATTTGTTATTTTTTATTATTATTCATTATTGTTATTTTTAATTTTTTTTTTTAATTTTTTATTATTATTATTTATTATTTTTCATTATTAGTATTTATTAGTTCTTAATTTTTTTATTATTATTTATTAGTTTTTAATTTTTTTTATTATTTATTAGTCCTTAATTTTTTAATTATTATTTATTAGTCCTTAATTTTTTAATTATTATTTATTATTTTCTATTATTAGTTATTATTATTAATAAATTTTTATTATTATTTATTATTATTTATTATTTTTTATTATTTTTTATTATTATTTATTATTTTTTATTATTATTTATTATTTTTTATTATTAATTATTATATTTAATTGATTTTTATTATTATTTTTTATTTATTTTATTATATTATTATTATTATATTTATAAACGATATTAATATTATTTATTAATTTATTATATATGTACATATTTATGTTGCTTTAATTGTTTATATCATCTTTCAGCTCTTTAATTTTGAGGTATTTTTTGTTCAATCACAAAGCATGGTTTATCATTTTTTACTTTTTTAATAATTCACAATACTCTTTAAAAATTAATGAAATATTTTCGATCTCAATATGGACTATCTTTTGAATTTGTATTATTTATTTGCTTTAATTTGTGTTGTCATCATCATCACATACAAAAAATTGTAACAAGGCCACTCTAAATGCAACAACTTTATGCACTAATAAAAATGTAAGGAAATGCAACAGAAACTTTTTCTCATATATATTATCTATCTACCAATGCCAACAGATACTTATGACGTTAAAATGTTTGCATATTTAAACAGAAATTGGCGGATGCTTTAAAAAGTGCAAAACAATAAAAAAATAAAAAATATATCTATTAGCTTTTCTTGTAAATAGACGAAACACTCTCAGAAAAAAATATATATACCTATACATATACACCGTACATGTATGGACAAAAACATATATACGCTTATAGGGAGAATAAGAAAAAATAAATGCCACAATATATTTTTTGTTGTACAACACGCACACTTAATTCAGCTGAATTCTTTTTCTTTTTATATTTTTACGGGTCGTTATAATGCAGTAAACGCTGCGTCGTTGCTTATGTACACACGGTTTACTGATATGTATATCGTCAGGTATACATATATTTTCTATAATGAATTTTAAACTAATAGTGCTAGCACGCCTTCGCGAAATACACCGTCCGTTCTATGCAGAAAATGCAACTTTCCCGGCAAACGACTGAAAATGTACTAAAGGTGAGATAGTGAGATAGTGAGATATATTGCAAGAGATACAACCAACCAACGAACGAACGAAAGAACGAGCGTGCGAGCAAGCAAGCAGCCAGCAAGTGAGGCAGTCAAATCGGAGAAATTGTAGGAAAACGAGCAAATGAATACACTACGAGAACGAATAATAACCAAAAAGTGCGAGCAAACATACGAGAACTCAGACAACGAACCATGCTATAGAAGAACTACGCTAAAGAGGCCAACTAGAATGAAAATCAGAAATATAGGAGAAGGAGAAACCAATGCTGGAGAGGGAATAAATATCCAGTGGTGGTGCCCGAAAAGTTGTTCAAACATGCTTATATGTACATACATATATAACACGCAAACAGACCAAGGCAGCGGTGAATGGCATGAATAAACCGAACCTACCTATCTAATAGCTGACAATTCCAACCAAGACGTACATACATATTACATATACACGAGTATTCACATGTGTAGAGTGCATATTTAGTTAAGGAATTTAAAGATAAAAATGAAATTGGAAAAGTCAGATGGGTGCAAGAAAAGTGTTCAACAAATGCTCTCAATTGCATATGAAGATGTACTAAAATTTGCTTTCGGGTGCATACGCAAGGTGGTCATTTCGGTCGGTATATGGTTTAATTTTATGCAAAAACTGTCAGAAATAGGAGATAAATTAAAAAAAGAAACTTTAAAGTTATGTCCATTCTTGACAGCTTCGCGACACAAATTTCTCAAGAAACACTTCTTCAAATCTCTCGTTGAGCTGGACTCAACTAAAATTGGGGATATCGTTGCCTTAATAAGTCACACGATATGCTCTTATATCCAGTAGTTTTTGCTTTACACTCAGCATAAAAAACAATAGAAATTTCTTTTGGATTTGGAGTATTTTTTCAATTTTTTCAATTTTTTTTTGTTTTTTCAATTTTTTTTATTTTTTCAATTTTTTTTTTAAATTTTTTCAAATCTTCTTGAATTTTTCCCTTTTTTTCCATTTTTTCCATTTTTTTTTTTTTAAATATTTTTAATTTTTTTTTAATTTTTTTTTTTAATTTTTTTTAATTTTTTTTTTTAATTTTTTTTAATTTTTTTTTTAATTTTTTTAAATTTTTTTTTTAAATTTTTTTTTAATTTTTTTTTATGTTTTTTTTAATGTTTTTTTTTATTTTTTTTTTTATTTTTTTTACTTTCTTTAAATTTATTTCTAAATTTTTTTTAACTTTTTTATTTGTCTATTTTTTTTTTTATTTCTTTTATTTTTGGTTTTGTATTTCATTTTTTTATATTTATTTATTTTTTTATTTTATTTCATTTTTTTATTTTTATTTATTTTTTTATTTTATTTCATTTTTTTATTTTATTTTATTTCATTTTTTATTTTATTTTATTTCATTTTTTTATTTTATTTTATTTTATTTCATTTTTTTATTTTATTTCATTTTCTAATTTATTTCATTTTCTATTTTATTTCATTTTCTATTTTATTTCATTTTATTTTTTTTATTTTATTTTGTTTTTTATTTTTTATTTTTTTATTTTATTTTGTTTTTTATTTTTTATTCCTTTCTTTTATATTTTTTTTTATTTTTATTCTATAATTTTTAAATGTTGGTCTGACCAGAACTCGAACCTTGGCTTTCAGAAAGTCAGTGCGACATGCTAACCATGACATGCCTTGCCGGGAGAAAGCTCTTGAACCCAAACCCCTTTTATCACATTTATTATTGAAATTATTGAAGTTTTTCACAAATATTTTTTCTCTTACTTTCCTTCTTTTACATACCCAACTGTTTATATTCATATATTTGTTAATATTAAATTAACTCAAAATATGAGTTAATTAGAATAAAAATGGCATTTACGCTCCAGACATGGCACAGACGTTGTAATCGATTATCGATACAATTGGCACACTGAACACCCAGCTGTTAGCAAGCACTCGCACTGCCCAAGCGATCATAAAATGTGCTTCACGTACACTCGTGAATTCAAAATATATTTAATCATATTCTTCATTTTATAAATTAAATTTTGTCAATATTAAATGCTTAAAGCTAATTTTTGTTGCCATCTGTCAAAATAAAGTAGCACAAATATCCTGAGTAGTATTTGTATTAAAATGTACATATGTAAATGTGTCACTAACAGTAGGTAACAGCAAAAACAAATATAACAAAACTAGTAAAGAAGTAAATAAATAGAAGATAAGAAAAAGATGAATAACATACATAGGCATAAATGAATTATAAAAATATACATTAAGGTAAAATAAGAGCGCCGTTTCTAAAGTATAAGCATGCATACCTACATATCCACCTCCACCGCTACTACTCGAAACAAACACACCACAGAGGCCAGAAATCTTGTGCTGGAGAGCGAGTAGTAAACGTCGAAATGAAATGACAAGTCGAAAAGTGGCAGGGAAAACCCGTTCGCTCGTTCGCTCGCTACTGACGGCGCTGGCTGTGGCGCTCGTTAATTTTTAGTTTGCTTGACTGCGTGTAATTTACGATTTTTTCTTTACAAAATTTGTATTTTTCTTTATTTTTATTAACTTTTTATTTTTTTTTTAAATAAATCCACCACATTTATCATGGTTTTGCCTCTTTGCTTTCTTATTTATTTGTCATGCTCGTATTTTATCACTTGCACACATACATAAATAGGGTAGTATAGCAGCAGAAGTACTTTGTGCGTACATATTTACACACATATTTATGTATATGAATGGACATTTCATAGTTATTACATGGAAAAGACGATTTTATATTGACAAAGGCAAGAAAAGTCGAAAATGTAGAGTGTGAATAAACGATGGCAAAAGTAACAAAAAAACAAACAAACATCACAGGGCACAGCGCAAAGCAAGCAATAAACATAACTAACTCTATTTATCAGCAGCAGCTGAGAGAGCAAGCAAATAAAATTTAGTTACTAAATTAATTTGTGCTAGGTTCGGGTTTGGATGAATACTCAACCAGGCGCACAGACAACAGTAAAAACACGTTTGCCATAGCAAAGAGTGAAAAAATATGCATTCCATATTAAAGGCGAATAAAACAAAATAAACACATCCACATGCATACATATTTACATATATCTACAATGCGCTCTTTATAAATACTATATGTATGTATGAATTTATAAAGAGGCAAATGCCAATACATGCATACATACATACATACAATACACTTGAAAAGGCACCTCGTGCTGACAAGAAGAAAGTGCAAGAAGATTCATACACACATACGTTCATACTTACGCACATATACATATACAAATAATAAAGTATGATTTATGCATACGTTTCTATAGGAAAAATTGTGTTGGAAATGTTATCTTCATTGAAGAGTTTTGAGAGAGAAATAGATTTGTTATTGATTAATATTTCATTTTTGGACTTTCCACAAGCGGTTTTTAAACTTAAATACATATGAAGACACACACATACATATGTATATACATAAAAACAAATACTTAAATGATAAGAGACACTTTCTGTTAATTTAATGTTTGAAAATCGTCGTTATAGCGTACTATTATTTACATAGAATGTAAAATTCTGTTATGGGTTATGTTCCGTTGATAAGGAAAAATTTCTTTACTTATAACATAAAATGCCAATTCTGATCAGTTAGTTGTACAGGACCTAAATATTACAATTGTCGAATATTTGTTGTTGTTGTTGTTGTTGTAACTACAAAATATTTCCCTGTATCGATCTGGTATAAAGACACAACAGTTGTTGTTTTTGTTGCAGTGGCAAGCTCTAAGTGCATCAATGGAGCAACACCTCGCACCCGGGTTACTACACATCCTTCTCATCAGGTTTCCAACCCAGCTCCGACAAATAACCATGTTGCCAGCGCTCAAATGCGCCCTATTCTGAGCGACCATGACCAACCCCAGACCTTTACCATCTCACTGAGCTCCCCGCAGCAGCATTCACATTCTACCCAACAACCCTCACCCCTCAACTCTATCCAGCTCCACAAATCCAGCTCCATACTGGTGCGATTGATAGGCCTCTGGACTTCGTTTCCGTGGATCACTGGACTTTTGTTAACTTTAAAAATGCTGACTGCCCCTAATTCACGTAATTCACTGAGAACGCTTTCCGTGAAAATTTCTTCAGATGTATTGTTGAGTCGGCTGACGGTAACGACGGTTCTAGCATCTTGGCGTAACTTCGCTGATCTCGGAAATTTGTCTCTGAAAACCAAAAAAAAAGAATATCCGGCCTGTGGCAAATGGGTAGGCCGGAACCGCCAATAAAACCGAGGAAATCAGCCAACAAAGGAGAGTCATGTATATCGTCCGATATACTAGTAGCGAAAGCTCTTGAGGTATCCAGCAGTTAGTCGAGGAGTAAGAAAAAATTAGTTGTGAGTCGCTGAGATCAACTAACGGGAGTTCCAGGAAACAAACTGTTTCGTGTTCGCTTTCCGACCAGACGGAACTTTGTGGACATGCAAAGAAATGGTTAGTGTCAGGGTCTCTACGATAAGTTACTGCTTACACAGCATAACATTATGCTACTTAACTATGAATACAAACTGTGTGGGTGGCGCTTGGAGAGATCTCGTAACTTGCGGCAAATTGCCTTGTAAGCTGCTAGCATCAATTCTTTATGTTCGACCCAGCCGTATGCTGAGAATATAAGTCGACTCCCAGTAACTTGAACGATCCGTTTTAGTTAAGGACATGGACGATTGTGGAAGCCGTCGAAATGTGCCGCTTGTGCATAAACGAAGGGAGCAACAAGGCAATGATTTGACAGACCTGTTATGGCCGCAGAGGCTTACCGGCTGAGCTGGGCTAATCGGTTATCAAACATCCTTCGATTATATTAAAAACTAATAAAATATGTAGTTAGCAATCAAACAAAAAGGCAGAAATTTATTCAGCTCGACATCTTCATCTCATGATCGGGTTATAGTTTAAAGTTGTATCCGTTCTCTTGGCACTTACGGACACTGAAACTAGAATAATGAAAACAAGAACAAACACAGGAAAGAACATCACAACTTGAACCTTTTTTCCACAAACAGCTGGTGGCACATTATTGACATAAAATAAAAAATATTCCGCTTTGTAGCCACCAACACATGGCGCGAGTTGATCAATAAAGAACGAAAGATAGGAAATATAAACAAACCAAAAAGGCAAAAATAATGCGAAGGTACAATAAATATGTAATGTTAATGTTGAACACAAGTACAACAAATAAATATGAAAAGAACCTAAAGCATAAGAGGCTCAGCTAAAGTCAACCGTACGACGACACTTTGACAAACCTGTGAGCACAGTTGGTGTGCAATGCAGACGAAGAAGTTGACTTGAAGTCGGTTGTGTTGCACTGAATGTTTGTTGTGTTGACGATGATGCACGACCCCATCAACAACGACAAAGCAACCACAGGTAGGGTAGCGAAGCAATAGCTCATACTAGTTTTTGTCGCTCCTGTGGCTTTACCAACAACAACATTTCTTTCATAAATTAATTCCATTAATTATTTTTTTATTTCATTTTGTATATGAGGAATTGAACAATAAATGTTTGCCCATATTTTTACTTCAATTCGTTGAAAAATAACTATTACGTATAGAATTTTGGTTTTTTAGTTTATTTTTTATCTTTTGTAGGAAATCGTCTTCTGAAAGTTAGGCGAGCTTGAGCTAGTTAACTCCAGTCTCGCTTGGCCGACAGTATATCTCTAGTGTCGCCAGAGACCCTACATAGTATAATCATAGCATTACTACTACACTCTTTGCTATTGTTGTTCAAAGCAGTTATTGAAAAATATGGCGAGAATTACAATCCTTGGCCCGGTAAAAATCTG